TTCCCAGGAGTTGACACATGCAGTCCTAAATGTCTGAAGCCCAGAATTTTCTAATTTAATCCATAACTATTGTTTCTAGGCTGGGAACCTAAATTCGATACCTACAACGCAAAGACACGTACTTCTACGCCCCAAGAGAAGACTGACGTAGTTCCGAGCACCGCTTTTAAACACACGTAGTTCTGAGGCCTTCGGCAAGACTCACGTAGTTCCTATCTTTTTAACCAAGAAGTACGTGAGTCTTGCTGAAGGCCTCAGAACTACTTGTGTTTGCAATCGGTGCTCGGAACTACGTCAGTCTTCTCTCGGGTCGTAGAAGTACGTGTCTTTGCGTTGTAGGTATCGAATTGTTGTTTTGTCTCTGAGGCAGCCAAACCCCAGAATGAAATTCTGTTTTTACTTTTAAATTGTGGAATGCTAGTAATGAAATAAAGAAACAACTGGTACACACTGTCCTACATTGCTTGTCAGAGGTATTTAGATTGTAGTTTAAACTGTATTTTCAGTCACATGAAACATGTGTAAATAAATTTAAAAAAAAATTAAGGTGTATCTAGGGTGTTGAAAGAAAGAACGGATCTTTCATTGAAGGTCAATACTATATACTCAAGGGTGCAAAATCTCAATTCTCTTTCTTGCAGGAATTTTTTCGCAGACTTTCCAATGTCTATTCTGATTCTAACAACACTCAACATAGGTATACCATGTTACAATAATGTTATTTTTGCAAAACAATATTTGCAATGAACATACGTGGGGATAACTTTTAATCCAGAACTTCTTATGCCTTTCATCAAAAACATCACGACACTACAAAGTTATAAAGGTTTTATCATCAAATAACAAAATAAATAATCAAATGCAGGTTTATATCCCTGTGAATTGACGTAATGAGAACTACTTCATCATTTTCTTGACCTGCTTCTGACCACAGCTTCCTTCATGGCTTTCCCTTCTCTTCTTTGATCCTGAGAGTCTGGCACTGCAATACCGACACTCAAAATGGGTGCCAGAATCTGATGACCTTTTTCTGAAACCAGCCTCCACCAAGGCAGACAGCTTCACTTCATCACTTTTGTGGACAGCTCTGATGTGGTTAATTAGTGAAGTTTTGGCACCTTCACCACGATAGGCTTTAGTGTGGCTGCAAGGTCCAGAGGGGCACTGGTAACCATTCTTGGTTTTTATGGTTTCTTTGTAAACCGGTGCCACACTGGCCTCCGGAACGGATGCTTCATAATCTGACCCTGCTGCACACAGGTCGGGATGAAGCAGAGGGGCTATTGAACGCAGATGAACAGATATGCCTTGTGTATTTCCTATTCTCCAGGCACTAATGTGTTCCTGGTCTGCCCCTAGCTGCACCAGGGTGGATTTGATGTCAAAGAAGGAATTCATTGCTCTAAAAAGAAGTGATAAATCATTTCTTTGCTCTGACAATATATAGGCACATATAACATGAATGTTGTTATCAACTTAAAATTAAGAATAGGTACTCACGGGTGACATTTACATCTCTGGCTGGCCAGCATTCCAGGCAGCACCCAGGACTTAGACACAAAGTTCATAGCTTCATTTAAATTCAAACCTGCGTTTGCGCCCCAGTGAATTGTGTTCGGAAGTAGGTAAACGATATCTCCAGGTTTTTGGACAATCTGTTTAAAAAAATGTTGAACATTACACGACCCAAATCACACATGAATTTTATACTATTAAGTCTTGTACAGCATTCAGTTTCATAAGAAAATGTTTTAACTGCAATTACACTGAAACTCACAATGAAAACAGGAATACCAGCTTGAATTACCATGCGGTAATCCAACCACAGCTGCTTGTGCTGTATGAAACACTTCAGGTTCTTGACCATCGACGCGATTGGGAGAGTTGTCGTGAACTGCAGAAAAGCATTGAAGAATCTTGGTGGTATGAAGAACCTGTAGAAATATATTGAAAGTGAAAGCATTATCAATTGAGATGAGCATTAATAAAAACAGACACAAATTTGAGCGCTGGCCTATGCATGGGCTACCGTGTAGTTCCGCAGTCCCTGCTCAGGATTAACAAGTATTATGTACGAAACATGACAATTCGGCGTAACCGGACCTTGGCTTCACCATAAATGTGCCTATTAATTGCGCAGAACGAGAGGTCTTCTATATGGCAGTTAAACGTCGAATTTTCAAACCCAATATACACACTAGGTGAATTGATGCCATTGATCACCGAGCCACCGTTAAGGGACTGAAGATTGTGATCCATTGCAGCCATTGACACACCTTTGGTGGTCCCAAGTGAGGCCGGAAGACTCACATTTTGAATGTACATTATGGCAGAGCTTTTGTCTTCTAGCCTAATCAACAACTTATCTAGAAAGACATCAATATCTTCTGCCTCATCCCTGTAACAACGCATGAAATCCGTTAGTGAGTTGAGTGAAATTCAAGAAAATTTTGTACGTTACAGAATACCTGTAAATCGTTAAGTAAAGTTTACATTTTTGGAGGCATGAATCAGTACTCACAGAGAGGTTCCTTGAACATCCTGAGAGTTCGAATGAAGAATTTCCTTCTGCGCAGTTCTCTGCAGCCTGGCAAGTTTTAATCTTTCCTTTTCAGTCACAGTGGTGCCATGAAGAGGGTCAATGTAAAAAACAGCTTTCTCTATGACAGTCGGCCTTTTCAGCCAGTCAAATAGGTCCAGGCTAACATCTTCTCCCAGCGCCACCTTCACTTGCTCCATATTGCTCTTGCCATCATCGGCTGTCTATGTAGTGAGCCTTCCCTGAATAACATAATAATAATAGTGAGAGGATATTTGAAGATGAAATTTGCAGAAAGTAAATGGCATAAGAAGCTTTATTCTTACAATAAATGCTCCTTCCTTTTCAACAAGGTGCTGTACGCTGTCAAGGAGCTTGCCAGGGTTAAGGTACTCTTCCTCTGTGATGTCAAACACCATGACACCTCTGACTCTTTTCTCTTGGCGAACATCCATGGCACTACTGCAATAGTTTTTTTTAAAAAAATAATAATGTGGAGTAAAGTCTTAAATGAACAGAAGTATGTGAGTACTTTCGACACGAAAACTAAACAGTGAGATCGTACCTAACCTAACCTCAGGTAACCTATTCGATGGAACGCTATTTTTGTGGGCGTTCTTGTTACCTCTTGATTCTGCAGAAAGTCATGTAAATGTGAATTTTTCACCTCTTATATATTAACACTATGTAATTTAAGTATGATTTCTTCGTATGTAAACTGCTCGGATGCAGAATATACAAAC